AACAGTATCGGTGCGGCGAACGGTGACGAGCTCGGTCGGATGAATTTTTTCTCTAGCAGGTAATCTAACTGCTTCCTCAGTTCGTCGAGCTCTGGCTGTGTCAGTCGGAATTGTCGCTGTACAGTTGGCTGTGCCCCCGGTTCTAACTCTATGCGGTGGTCATGTGCCCGCTGAGGTGGCAGTCCTTCTGGTAAGTCGTCGGGAAAAATCCCTGGGTACCGTTTCAACAGTTCCTGTAGTTCGGGCAGTACTGCTGCCAACAGTTTCTGAAAATCGCTCGGCTGCTCTGCTTCTCCTACCAATGCTATATCCACTGCGTACACGTCAGCTCCAGCGGTGACAGCCTGTTTCATCGTGACGGCGTTGACGTGTACCGTTGAAGACTCAGGCGACTGCCAGCGAGGTAGCTCAACCCAGTTACCGCTACTTCACACAGTGCAGCTACCCGTCGTCCAGTCAATTCGAGGGTTATACCATCGCAGCCAATCACGTCCCAGTAAAATGTCGTGCCCATCGAGTGTCGTTGCGAGCATTTCCTGTGTAAATCCGAAATTCCCCCTCGCAGCGGACTTTGACTCTCTCCACCTTTTCCCGTATGGCCAGTGGCGTGCCGTCGACTAAGCATGCGTCTATCTCAGGTAAACAACGGCTAAGTGTCAGTTGCAGTTTTCGTGCGGTTGCGGTATTAACTAAACTGTGACTTGCTCCTCCGTCGATAAAAATCTTCACTGCCGCTCCCTGTATTTTCCCGTGGATCAGTACTGGGCAATCCGTCGCTGTACCCTCCTTATTCGTCCGAGCCCGATCGATAGCATGAATCGGTACTGTGACTCGGTGAGGGTCGGTGTGGTTGGGCGAGCAGGCAGTCTCGTCAGTAGTTGGCCCGATTCCTACTGACTGCTGGCGTTTCCCTGCCTCGGAGACTCCCTCCCCTGCTCTGCTCCGCGGCGCCTCAGCTCCTCTGGGCATTCACTCTTGCGATGGCCCGGCCTATTGGAAGCGAAGCAGCGCCCTTTAAACGGCGCGGCAGCTGCATTCGTCGCAACGGCATGTATGGTGGCGTGCTCGATCGGTCCCCGAGGGCGATGTCCGTAGTAGGACCCCGGTCTCGGACGGCGTAAGATGTCGATTTTCTCGGCGAGCGCGAGAATCTCGTTGAAGTTCAAGAGTCCGCGTAGCATGACCTCGTGCGAGATGTCTGGATTCAGCCCTCCGACGTAACGGTCCACCCGCTCCGCTTCGTGCATGTAGCCGACTTGCTCGCATAATGCGAGAAAACCACTCGTATAGTCTTGAACCGACCCGAGATGCCGCCAAGTATGCAGTCTCTGACGCGCTGAAATAGAAGCCGCGATCGGCTCGAAGCGCGCCCGAAGCCCTGCGCACCACGCATCCCACGTGCTGTATTGGGCTGTTTCGCAGAATGAACTCCAGGTGACGGCTGGACCCGTGGGCCCTTCCTCTTGCGACGGTGGCTCGTAGGTGCGTGGCGACGTCACGATGACTCGCCACCAGTCCATGGCGGTGTGAGAATCATAAGCATAGAGAGGAGCCATAGCTAGGGTTTAGCTAGCTAGGCAAGAGAGAAATGAACAAAGGAGGGGTTTCACTAGCAGCAGTTGGGATACATATAGCAAACCCTAACAGGGTTGTACTCGCTATAGAGCACCCCACTACAGGCTAGATAATAACATTCTGACACACCCCCATAGCCAAAGTGGGGTGTAATCAGCAGAGCACGCAGTCATAGAGCAGGTTCACAAATGCAAGCAAAGCTAGAGGCTATCACAGAGGGCAAGTGAGGAGGAGGAGGAACTGTGGAAGGAGAGAAGATGGGAGGCAACGACTGAAGCTGCAGAGGCACGGGCACAGGAGCGGCTGACTCAGTGGCTACCGAAGCAAGGGCGACGGACTACTGGAGTGACTGGCTCCGCGGCTAAGACGAGCGGCAGGAGCAACGGACCCACTGGCGACTGGTGCAACAGGCTCACTGGCTACCGAAGCAAGGGCGACGGACTACAGGCGCTGCAGGCGACACGACAGCTACCTCCACACAACCTCCTCCAACTGACCCACACCCTTGACACACACCCCCTGCTGAACCCCTAACTCCACTCCCACGTCACCCCCCTAGCACCACTCCTTCGGCTCCCACACACCCACCCCCCTGAGCGGCAGCTGCAGCAGCGGGAGACGGAGGAGGAGGAGATGTAGTGGAACGGCGCACAGAAACTGCACCCCCATACCCCCCACCCCCAAACCCTAATTCAGGAGAACGGGCAGCAGCAGGGGTGGGGCACCGTCAGAAGCACGGGGGACAGCGAGCAGCTCAGGGGCAGAGAGGAACGGGCCGCCCACGGGCCTGGCACAGCCCGACGAACCGCGCGCAGGCGGCCCGAGCCGCGCGCGGGCCTGGCGCAGCCCGTACGGGCCGCGCTCGGGGCTAGCGCAGCCCGCGCTGGCCGGGACGGGCGACGGGGGACGACGGGCTGGTCCCCGTCGCCCGTCGAAGCGCCCCCCGGGGGCGACGCGCGGACCGACGAGGTAGAAGGCCGCCGCGCGCCCCGGGGCGCACGGCGGGCAGAGAACCGCCGCACGCCCCGGGGCGCACGGCGGGCAGAAAACCGCCGCGCGCCTCGGGGCGCACGGCGGGCAGAAAACCGCCGCACGCTCCGAGCGCGGGGCGGGAAGAAAAATCCGTCGCACGCCACGGGGCGTGCAACACACAGAGTAGCAGCGGAAGCAGTTAGGTGGGCCCACAGGCCAGGAGCGTAGATGCTCTGATAGCATGTTGAGAATCATAAGCATAGAGAGGAGCCATAGCTAGGGTTTAGCTAGCTAGGCAAGAGAGAAATGAACAAAGGAGGGGTTTCACTAGCAGCAGTTGGGATACATATAGCAAACCCTAACAGGGTTGTACTCGCTATAGAGCACCCCACTACAGGCTAGATAATAACATTCTGACAGGCGGGGCCCCTCAGCAGCGAAACAGCGTAGCGAATCTTCGCTGCGTCCGACTCGACGTAATTCGCGTCGAAAAAAACGTTCATCGTGAAAACCCACGATTGAACCGTCGGACCTCCACGCTGGCTCGGGTCGAAGCAGGGCGGGCGTTGCGGCTTGAGTGGCATTGGTGCCATAATGGCCTGTTCGCCACTTGTCGCCGCGAACTCCATGTGCCGACGGGCTTCACGAGGCTCCCGCGGGCTTGGTGCGACCCTGTTTCCTCCCATACCAGGCATCGGCTGGGCGGCGCCATCACTGGCTGCGCCTGAGCGCTGTCCCACGCTGTCGTGTTGCGTTGGTGTGCCGGACGAAATGACGATCGGCTCGTCCGATTGTGCAGATGTATTTGTCGGTGCGTGTGGTGGTGCTGGAGTGTTCACCGTGGATTGCTGACGCGCGGAGTCACGCTCCGCCGTGAGCGTCGCAATTTCGAGCGCCGAATCTTCAAGTTGGCGCACCAGACGGTCAAGCTGCTCCTGCGTCAATGTTGCGAGCGTAAATTCGGCCATGGCAGGGGTGTCGGGCGAGCTCAGCGAGAGCCTCGGTCGTGGCCGTGCGTGCTTACGAGAGAGCACTGCGAGCGGCGGTGCTGTGTCGTTGAGAGACGTCTACCCCCCCCCCAAAATTGAGATAGTGCGGAAACGAAGGTGTGGGTGCGGTCCGAGAAGAGATCGTAGGCTCTGAATACCAAGTGTTACGAGTGCAGTTGAGTGAACGAACGGGAATTGCACTATCGAAGCAAGAGTACAATGAGCGAAGGCATGAGCGAAGAATATATAGCGAAACTACAGTGGTAACGGTAATGGACTGTGGTTGTCGCGCGACGGGCTTGGGACTGAGGTTTGGGGAATTGTCGAAGCGGAGGCTCGGAGTCTGGGTTACCCGCCGAGCCGTGAGGTCGGGGTGCGACGTGCGAAGGTGGCGGGAGGATTGTCGATGCGAGGGTTGCGAGTGGTAACGGTGCTGACTGTGGTGCTACAGTGGTGTACGCGCTGAGCGGGGACGCGAAGTAAGGAAAAGGAATTTTCGTTACAGTGTACCATATTTATTAGCTTGTACACTCTTGAACTGGCCTTGTGGCCCTTTGTTTGTGCTCAGACTGTGTGGTGACGTTGTGATCCACCCTGAGCTTTGTTTTCTCTCTTGCTTGTGACTGGTCTTGTAACCTTAGGTTGTGTTTCTTGTTGCTTGGCATTCCCCATTTAGGCTATGGGGGTGTGTCAAATGTTATAGCCTCTAGTGGGTCATGCTATATGGGGTACAAACAGTTAGGGTTAGGCATTTGTACCCCAACCCAATCAATCGAACTCATTCCGCTGTGTTTAGTTTCTAAGACAGGGTTACCGATTTCATAACGAAATTTACCCTGAATCCAGTACCATACTCCCTCCCCCCCCCCCCCCTCCCCCCCCACTTCCCCCACCCCCCCTTTTCCGTAACCCGGGATTCCCGATTGCCAGCTGTAAAAACCGGAATTTCAGCCTCGACAATACATGTGCTGGCACGAAGTGGGCCACCATTGGCCAGAAACACCAGGGTTTGAAAAACTGGTACACTGATGCCACAAGGTTGGATTTTCAAAAACAAGAAAAACACTGATGGATCAGGGTTTGAACAAGGTGTCACACTGATAATCAGGTTTTTGAACAGGTGCAACACTGATCACAAGGGTTGCTCAAAACCAAAAATTAGCCCTGCTACACACGTAATACACAAAACAATAAGTGCCTGCCTGGACACACAGTGATGCCAGTGCATGCTCGCCGATGCATGTCCGTGCCTGTTACTGCTGCCCGTGTTACCGCACGGCTTGAACCACACAGTAATGCCTGTCCATGGGATGCCTGTTCAAGTACGGTAATGCCTATTCAAGTGGAGCCTGCTCATGGATTGTGCTAGCATCAGTGCAGCGGGTGTGCGGCCTGCTTGGCCCGAGCAGACGTGCACTTGGCCCATGGTCACCAGATCCCTTCTGAGGAGCCTGAGAAGCCGCTTCAGTGCAGCGGCTGTGCTGCCTGCTTGGCTTTGGCAGACGTGCACTTAGCCATGGTCACTGATGCCCGTGAGATGGCATCTGTCATGTAGAAATTGGGCACCTGGGGGGAAACAACGCAAAGGGGGGTTGAGAGGGGTGATAAGGGGTTGAGAAGGGTTGAGAGCGATGGAGTACAGTACGGTAGGATGGAAGATCTGCACTTAGCCATGGTCACCGAAGCCCGTGAAATGGCATCTGTCATGTAGAAATTGGTCACCTGGGAGGGAAGAGCGCAAGGGGGGGTTGAGAGGGGTTGAGAAGAGTTGAGAGAGATGGATTACAGTACAGTAGGAAGGAAGGCGTGCATTTAGTCATGGTTGCAGATAGGCACATGGTGACAGGCACGTTGTGACAGGCGCGGGGACATGCACATTGCGGCGCCAGCCATATTGCGTCAACCACATTCTTTTAGTCAAACATTCCCACTTCGATTTATTCTCTGACGATCATGTGTGCGCAGAACTTGGTGAATTTTGAGGCGCCAAAAAATCACCTCATTTTTCTACACTCATCATAGATCATGACTCATGCCCACCTTGAGGTACTCTGTGTCAGCAAAGCATACCCCATCTCACCTTGCGGTGCTCTGTAACAATCATGCGCGGGCGCGACTTGGTGACGGCTCCCAGGAACTGCACGATGTTGGGGTGGCGCAGCGACTGCAGGATGCGCAGCTCCTGCCTGAACTCGTTGCTGCACTCACGGAGGACAGGGAGGCCGGGCCGGGAGGAGGGGAGAGGAGGAGGGCTTGGCTAATCAATGAGTCGACTCAGAAATCACGATGTTGGGGTGGCGCAGCGACTGCAGGATGCGCAGCTCCTGCCTGAACTCGTTGCTGCATGCACGGAGAAGGGGGGGGGGGGGGGGGAGGAGGCGGGCACAGGGTGGCGGGCAAGGGGAGCGCGGAGGTGAGGGGATGGTTTCATGAGCGGAATCAAGAGTCATGATGTTGGGGGTGGTGCAGAAACTCCATGACCCGCAGTTCTTGCGTGAACTCGTTGCAGAGGCGGGTGGGCCAGTGGGGTAGGGGGGGTGGGGGGAAGAGGAATTGGGTGGGGAAAAGAGGGAAAAGCAGGGCGTGGTGGGACGAGAATACGAGGAGACTGGTGAGGAAGGGCTGGTGAGGGATCTTCAAAGCTGAGGGGAGGAGGGCAGGGGGGCAAGAGGAGCAGCAAAAACAGCGGATATGATACGACCAATTTCTCCATAGAGAGCTGCATGGTGAGAATTCTAAAACACAGTTCACAGATCTCCATCTTACATACAGAGAGCGGCAGGGCGAGAATGAGACAGAGGGCGAGAATGAGACAGTGATAGGTGGCTTACAGGGCAGCGGGATCGGCAGCATATTCGTCTCTCAGCACCTTCATAGCGATGGGCGTGCCCCTCCAACTTGGCCACTGCACCTCCCCCGAACGACCCCTGGCTTGGGTAGGAGGACAGAAGCGGGAGGAGGAAGGAGGATTTAGTAAGGGGGAAGGGAAAGGGAGGAGGGAAGAGGACGGGAAAGAAGCGATTCAAAAAGGACGGTGAGAAGGGGAGGAGGAGAGGAGGGGAGGAGGGGAGGAGGAGGAGGGGAGGAGGGGAGTAAGGGAGGAGGGGAAGGGAGAGAAGAGCATTCTCGTATAGGGCCTCGCCAACTACGCCTCCCAGAGCGATCCCTGCACTCGTCCCCTTCTCTCCTTCCCCCAGTCACCCCTCCCCTCCGTCCTCCTGCTCACCCCTCCCCTCCGCCCCCCTGCTCACCCCTCCCCTCCGCCCCCCTGCTCACAACTCCCCTCCGCCCCCCTGCCCACACCTCCCCTCCGTCCCCCTGCTCAACCCCACCCCCATTCGCCCTGTGCGCACCTCGCCAATGACCCTGGAGATCTTCAGCGACAGTGAGAGGTGGCTTACGGGGCAGCGGGGCGCCCTGAGAATGATGTCAGAAGACCCTGGAGAATGAAGTCAGAAGACCCTGGAGAATTATGCCAAGCCAATGACCCTGGAGAGGTCCCCAGGGACAGAGAGAGGTGTCCATCACCATGACCTCTCACTGCCGCCACTGGACGCCCCCACCCCAGGTTGATCGCATCGCACCCCTTCCACCCCAGGTTGATCGCATCGCACCCCTTCCACCCCTTGCTCCGCCCCCCTCCCTCCCCCTGCTCAACCCCACCCCCCTTCGCCCCTTGCGCACCTCGCCAATGACCCTCCCTGCTCCCCCCAGGTGAGCACGCAGGTCCCCAGGTCGATCGCATCGCACCCCTTCCACCCGCTGTTCATCCCCTGCTCCGCCCACCTCCCTTCCCGCCCTCCTCACCTCACCTCTGCCTCCCCTTCCTCTCCCCCCTTCCCCCTCACCTCACTGCTCGCCTCGCCCCTCCACTAACCCTCCTTCGCCCCCCTCCCCCTGCTCACCCCTCCCCCTTTCCTCCCCCCGCTCGCCCCCTGTTCACCTCCCCTCGCCTCCCCTCCCTCCCCCTTCCCCCCTCTCCCTTTCCCCCTCCCCCCTCCCCCTTCCCCGCTCGCCCATCCTGCGCACCTCGCCAATGACCTTGGACGTCCCCAGGTCGATCTCACTGCCGTCCATCTCCCAGGTCCCCCCTGCTGACCTTGCCCCTCACCTCCCCCCTCACCTTGCCCCTCACCTCCCCCCTCACCTTGCCCCTCACCTCCCCCCTCACCTCCCCCTGCTCACCTTGCCCCTCACCTCCCCCCTCACCTTGCCCCTCACCTCCCCCCTCACCGCCCCTCACCTCCCCTCCCTCCCCCCTCCCCGCTCCCCCCTCGCCTCTCGCCCCTAGACCCTCCTGCGCACCTTGCCAATGACATTGGACGTGCCCAGGTGGATCTCACTGCCGTTTAGGGAGGAATGGGAAGCGGAAGGAGGGATGGGGGGTTGAGGGAGGGAATGGGGAGCGAGGAAGGGAATGGGGAGAGAGGAAGGGAATGGGAGGGAAGAGGAAATGGAAGTGGGGGGGGAGGGGAGGGGAGGGGGAATACGATGCTGGGCTGGCTTCCAGTGAAAGCAGGCGCATGCTGGAATGACTCCGTTTGGTCACACAAGTAGATTCAAGCTTTTGCAATGTAGGAGTAACGAGAAACGAAACGGGGAGCGATGGGATTCTTATGAGAAATGCAGGATCGACAAGGGAGAGGCGGGAGGAGGGGAAGGGCGGGTGCAGAAGCGAGAGAGGGGGCGGACAGAGAAAGGGGGGGGGGGGGGGAGGAAGAGAGTGGGGGTGAGGGGGAGAGAGTGGGGGTGAGGGGGAGAGAGTGTCGAATAGTTGATAGGCAAGGAAAGTCGGGTAGGAGTCTTAGGAATCGCGAGCCGAGAAGCATGGCGAGAGGTTTTAGAAGGAAGGTGTTTCAATAGGGTGAAAGGCACAAGATATAGGAAAGAACAAACGGGCCGAAACCAAACAGGTACAACACCATCAAAGCTAACAAATAGGGTGGTGGCACCCTTTGCCAGACACCCTCTTTCCTCCATTTCCTTTCCCCCTCTCTCCACCCCGACTCCTTTCCCTCTACACTCCCATCCCCCGGCCCCCTCTCTCCCCGCGAAATCCCTCTCCTCTACATTCCCCCGCCTCCCCACGGACTCCGCGCACCTCACAGCGCATGCCGGCCTTCTCCTTTCTCCTGGAGCAGGCGGCAGATCTCCGCGGATCCGTACCACTGCGCGTCCGCCAGGGGCTGCCAGGAGGGGGAGAGGGAGGGCAATGGCCCATGTCAAGCGGCCCATGCCATGCCATGCCATGCCATGTCATGCCATGCCATGTCAATCCATGCCATCCCGTGCCAACCCATGCCATCCCATGCCATGCCATCCCATGCCATCCCATGCCTTCCCTTGCCTTGCCATGCCATGTAGTTTCTTGCCATCCCATCCCATGCCGTGCCATGCCATGCTATGCCATCCCATGCCATGCCATGCCATGCCATGCCATGCCATGCCATGCCATCCCATGCCATGCCATGCCATGCCATGCCATGCCATGCCATGCCATGCCATGCCATCCCATCCCATGCCATCTCATGCCATGCCATGCCTTGCCAGAGTCACAAAACCAGGTAACAATGTGGTTGTCACGACAATTCAATGTGATTAACCAAGCGAAGAGTTGAAGTCCCGATGGGAAGTCACAGTCGTAGGGGACAAAACGATTTTTGAGTCGACTCGAAAATGGACTCATCACACGAGGTCGTCCCCATGGGAAGTCACAGTGGTAGCGGACAAAACGAGCCCACACTGCCAGAAGCAATGCCCTCATGCGCCTCTCACCGCCTTCTCATGAACCCACTATCGCCGTGCTGCCCTGCGGCTGTCATGCCATGTAGGGGGTCTCAGCCGTGCTGCACCCCGTCTCACCGTGTTGCCGTGTCTCAGCCTGTCTTTCAGATTCACATCCGCGCCTCGCTCCGGCAGCACCCGCCAGATGCATAGCGGCTCGCCCATCGTAGTCCGCCAAATCCGGGCTCACGCCGCGATCCAATAGGTCTATAACCACCTCAATCGACAATGCTGCGGCTCGCAAAAAACAGCAGCTGCCCTGCAGCGTCTACCAACCAGCGAGAATCGCGGCGTTACTACTTGTACTAAGGGCAGTGGTAACAGCTGAGATAGACCGAAACCTTGATCGCCGCCAGGGCTACTACCCTCATCGTCAGGGTTACCAGCATGATCTTTATCGCCAAGGTCACTGATACTACTACGTTGACCTTGACTTCTGTCAGTCTCCGGCGGTTTCTCAGTCCCGGATGCTTCCAACGATGCTTCCGCCAATGCTTCCGCCAATGTTACCGCGGGTGGCGGAGTCACCGCTTCGGCTAATTGCGGGGGGCCACCGCCAGATTCCGTCGCGTGGTAAGATTCGCTCAACTCCACGGCTTGCGCAGCCTCCGCTGCTACTGCTATGGTTTCCGCTGTTGCCGTTTCCGCGCAGGAGTATCCGCGGCTGGCCCGGAGCAGAAGTTTCCGCGGCTAAAATTTTCGCAGCAGGAGTACCCGCGACAGGCATTTCGCCTGGAGGTGTTGGTCCGTGCTCTGCGTGTCTCGCGGTTTCCGGGTTCAGGTGACGCGGATACGTGGTTATTAGACAATGCGACGCTTTCTCGAAGCGTCGCATCGTCTAGTGCGAAAACGGTGCGCAGTATTTTCGCGGTTCGGCTAAGAAGACTACCTAACGGACAGAAAGTCTAGCGGCCCGACGAGTGATCGTTCCCGTTCGATATATACTAAAGATCATGAAGGCTAACGAGATGTCAAGCTTGAGCCTTCACATCGAGGACTAACAACCTCACAGAACTTTAGTACAGGTGTTCTCGTTTTTAGTCCGACGGATCAACATCGCCGCGCGCGGACTATGTGCGAAAACCTTCAAACCCCAGACAAAACGCGATACTTATTGTAACAACCACGGCCGTTATAACAACGGGCAACCGTGTGTTAAATATAAATCACCCTTTACAATATTTATAAAAATCAAGATACAAGGCTTCCAAGTTTAACTAATCCCACCAAGGGATAATCTAGCCTTGATAGTATTCTTCAAGCTTGAGAGGAGAAAGGGAGCTTGAAGAAGGTTGATGAAGCTTTAACAAGTAGGTAGGAGCTTCTTGTAGAACTTGTCCTTGAAAAATCACAAGTCTAGTTGTGTAGGAGAGCTTGTTAGGAGAACCCAAAATGACTTAGAGAAATCCCATTTCCAAGTTAGATTGTTGGAGTTGGGAAGTGGGAATGAGCTTGAAAGCTCCAACCCCTTCCATCATACCCCTTGGGGCTCTTCCCAACCATGGCTTCCATGGTTGGGGAGCTAATAGGCTTGGAGCCTAGGTGGCATCTTTGTTTGGTTGGGAAAACCCAACTTAATTGTGTTGTATGGTTGTTTTGTGTTTGGTTGGATTGTAACAACAACTGGCATAATTTGATTGGTTGGAAATCCAACCTTTCCAATCTTCACTTTGATGGGTTGGAAGTTTTCCAAGCCTCAAGGTTGAGGGTTGGGAAAACCAAACCAGCTTTCCTCTCCAACTCATCCTTCCCATCTCTCGTAGTTCAATTTCTCGTCGAAGAACTTCTCGACATTGACTACGAGAGTCTCATTAGGTGCTTAGGTAGGTCGCGCGTTACACTCCTCCCCCCTCAGGTGGCAACGTCCTCGTTGCCTTGAGGTGCTTCTGAGGATGAGCGCTTCGAGCACGCCGTATCACATTACGACCAGGGTCAACACCATCCACTGGCTGTGCGGCAGCTCGTCGGGCCAGATCTGCCATGTATGACTGAACTGCAGTTTCAGTCAGATGCTCTTCTGGTTCCCATGAGTTGTGTTCAGGCCCATAGCCTTTCCACTTGATGAGGAACTCTCGTATTGTCTTGCGGCCGCGCTGTCGATCACGGTGCATCAGCACTCGTTCGACTTCATAAAACAGTTCCTCCCCCAGGACGATCGTTGGTGGCGGCAAGTACTTGCCCTCTGCAACGTACTTGTTCAACAGAGACACGTGGAAGACGTTGTGAATCTGCAATGTATCAGGCAGCTTAAGCTTGTAAGCTACCACACCAACACGCTTGATCACCTCGAAAGGCCCAATCCATCGAGGGAACAGCTTTCGTGCTCCAGGGATTTTGAGACGAATGTTCTTCGTGCTCAACAAAACTTTGTCTCCGACCTCAAATGAGACTTTTGTCGGTGCTGAGAGAGTTGCAGCCAATGGCGAGCAGACTTAAGCGCTTCTTGCTGCTTGCCAACAAAGTCTTTTGCGGCTGGAATTTTCAATCCGCCGATCCCATGCGTAGCAGGTGTTGTGGGATGCCGACCATAGTTCAGAATGAAAGGTTTTTCACGTGTACCTTCATGAACTGAATTGTTCACTGCGAATTCAACGACAGGCAACAACTCGTCCCAATCATCCTGAGTTGGGCCAATGAATCAACGAAGCATCTGTTCAAGTGTCCGGTTTGTTCGTTCCGTCTGCCCATCGGTTTGTGGGTGGAACGCCGATGACATCTTAAGCTTCGTTCCTAGTGTCCGTGTGACTTCTTGCCAGAACCGGCTTGTGAAGCGCGGATCCCGGTCGGACACCAATACACGTGGTAACCCGTGTAAGCGGAAAACGTGCGCCATAAACAATTTGGCCGTATCTTCCGCAGATACGTCCGTTGTCGTAGCCACGAAATGTACCATTTTTGTCAGACGATCCACAAACACTAGGATCGCTGTATGGCCATCGCGAGTCTTGGGAAGATCCGTGATAAAATCCAAGGATACGCTCTCCCAAGGTTCATTCGGGATCTCGAGTGGTTGAAGCAAACCACCAGGCTTCTCTGTGTCCGTTTTATTTCGTGCGCATGCATCGCAGCGCGCCACGAATTGCTGGACCTCAGTGCCCAATCCCGGCCACCAGTACACATCGCTCAAGGCCCACCTCGTCTTCTTGACCCCTAGGTGTCCTCCGTACTTAGCGGCATGCACTTCTTCCAGAATATCCGCAGGTTACCCACGTGAGGTACCACAATCTCATTCTTACGCCACCAGAGCTCGTGCTCCCACTTGAGTTCCTTCGTGTTTCGTGGGTTCTGAAACCAGGAGTCAATCTGATACCCTGTGCGGATGCGTTTCAGAAAACCACTGAAGGTAATCTCACTCACTCGAGCCGTTGCTAGGACACTGAAGCAAGCAAAAAATACTGCCGCATCCTCTGTGTCGTCTAGCCGTGTTGCTGCCCCTATCGGCTGACTGCTGAGGGGGTCAGCCAGGTTCGTCGAACCTGCTCGATATCGAATATCGAAGGTGAACCCACTAAGGAGTTCCGCCCATCGGGCTTGACGTCGAGTAAGCGTGGCTTGGGTGGAGAAGTAGGTGTTTGGATAGTGATCAGTCGTAACCACAAAGTCCACACCCTCCAGATAACATCGCCATGTTCGTAGCGCATGAACGACCGCCAACAGTTCTTGTTCGGACGTCGTATAGCACTGCTCTGCCGGGGAGAGCTTTCGACTCTCAAATGCCACTGGTCTCCCTTCTTGCAAGAGGACCGCCCAAATCCCAATCAATGAGGCGTCAGTAACAACCTCATAGGGCTTTGTCGGATCTGGTAAAACCAGTATCGGAGCATTGGTCAGCATTCGCTTGACCTCGTCGAATGCCTTTTGGCATTGTTGTGTCCATTGCCAAGCACTACTCTTGCGATTGAGGGCCGTCAATGGAGCAACAATGGTAGAATAATTCTGCAAAAATCGACGAAAATAGTTCGCCAGTCCCAAAAACGACCTGATATGACCCACATCTTGTGGTACCGGCCAGTTCTGGACTGTGACAATTTTCTTTGGGTCTACTTTGAGACCATCATTTCCCACGAGATGGCCAAGATATTTCAACTCGCGTTTGTAGAAATGACACTTCCACAGACGAGCATAGAACTTATGCTCTCGAAGTTTCCCTAACACCCACTTAAGGTGTCGCGTGTGCTCCTCTTCCGTCTTGGAATAAACCAAGATGTCATCCAGATAGACCAGAACAAACTGTCCAATCGCCTCGCGAAAGACATCATTCATAGCTCTTTGAAAAGAGGCAGGAGCATTGGTCAGGCCAAAGCTCAGCACTCGCCACTGAAAATGACCAAACGGCGATCGGAAAGCCGTCTTGGGTACATCTTCTTCAGTGATGCGCAATTGGTGGTACCCCTGCGCGAGGTCCAATGCGCTGAACCACTGGGCACCCTGGAGTTTGTCGAACAGGTCCTCTATTCTCGGTAGGGGATACCTGTTCTTCACCGTTATCTTGTTCAGAGCACGGTAGTCTACGCACATGCGTAACCCTCCGCCCTTTTTGTTCACGAACAAGATCGGCGCTCCGTAAGGGGATGCGCTTGGTTCAATCCATCCCTTCCTGAGATACTCCTCAATTTGCTGTTTAGCCTCCTCGTACTCAGCTGGGCTGAGGCGATACAGAGGTCTAAACGGTGGGAGTTTTCCAGGCTCCACTGGAATGGTGTGACCGACAGCACGGTCCGGAGGAAGGCCATCTGGGATGGGCTCAAAAACCTCCGCAAACTCGTCCGCCAGTGCTTTCATCTGACGCGGGAAATCCTCGACCCCAGGCATCTCGTGTTCAGCATTCTCAAGCTGTACCACAAAGAAGGTATCGGCTTGTCGAACATGCTGTCCGAACTCGTTTGCGAGCGCAAAACTCATATCGGGACGCTCCGACGTTTGTTGTTCGTTCGTGATCAAGTCCTTAGGCACTTGCCATTGGACTGTGTCACCATTCTTTAAGAATGAGACAGTATTGTCCTGGAAATCGAGCTTGACTTCATTCGCTCGAAGCCAATCCATTCCAAGGACAAGGTCGACGCCTGCGAGAAGGGGTAAAACATACGCGCAGATCTCGTCGTGATAACCCTCAATCTCCATGTTGATCCGTGTCTGCCCTTTGCTTGGGATGATGCTATCATCACCCAGGCGAATGGGGCAAGACGGTCCTTCAACGAGGATCGTGCGTGCTGTAGCCCACTTTTCGTCAAAGAGGGAAACAGTTGCACCCGTGTCAACAAGGATTTTTGCGTTTTCCCCGTTCACGCTACCCGCAAGCAACAAATTTTGTTGATGCTGTGGGCGAATAGGACATGCCACAATACTCGTCGAAGGTTGGAAGTACACCTTGACGTTGTGACGAGCGCGTCCATGTGACTGAGAGTTGGTCCACCACACATGGTGTCCCTTGTCCCACGCCGCTAGGACCGGCCATCCACGAAGCGCGTGGAACAATTCGCCTTTCACTGTGCGAGTCACCAACGCGACCGAAGTCAGGGGGTGCTCTTGAGTGCAACGACTCACAATCTCAATGACAGAAGGCAGAATGTCCAAGCCACAGAAAATGATTGAAAACTTATCTTGCATTGCTTCCATGGTAATGTTCTCAAGTGGGTACGATCGAGGATAACAAACAGAGTTTTTATTAAAAGAAGAGGCAAACAAACAAGAGATTTTGCAATCAGCAAGCTTCTCTAGCTTTAATAGATCATCATCACATAGCACATATGCCTCATCCACTCGATCTACTCCTCCAACTAGGTACCCACACCCTAGTTGGGCTTCTGAAAATCCTTCTTTCCAGAAGGTCCAGCTCCGCCTGGCTTAGGCTTCCCAGAATACTTGATAGCGTTCTTGTCACGGCAGTGCTTTAGGATGTGCCCCATCCTTCCACAACCTCTGCACTGCTTGTCGGAGAAGTCCGGCTTGTTAGGGCCATAACCTCCCCCTCCGTTAGGCCTCTTGGCCTGTGGACCAGGCTGGTGATCACGCTGCTGGAAAGGCCTTTTGTTCCAACCGCTTCCACCCTTCGCATTCTGGGGCCGGTTCCCCTGACCACCAGAGCCTTCAGCATGGGGCTGCTGGCCTGGCTTTGCAGGACCATGGATGTATGTGCGAATGATGGTGTCAGTTTTGATCACTTGCTCCTTCATCTCCTTGTAAGTCGTCCAATTGGTCATGCCGCCGATCATGTGTGCCTCCTGCAGGTTGACAGGGAGGCCTTTCATGAAGACGTGCATCATCTCCTCCTCAGACAAGGGCTTCTGGAGCGAGCGTGCTGCGGCCTCAAACTCGACCGCATATTCCCGCACCGAACGGTCATGACACTTGATATGCTCAAGGCATTCGCGCAGTTCCAGGTCGGACTTCTTGACCATGAATGCCTCTTTCAGCGCGGTGCAGAACTCCGGCCACCCAAATGGTCCCTGCGCCTGCTTCTTAGCGCCATACACTGCCCTGCGGGCCACCTCGTCCAATGCACGAGTGGCTGCAGTAACGCGAGCCTCAGGACGCACATTCGCAAGGATCATGGTTTCATTCACCAGGTCAAGCCAAGGCTGCACCTCCGTCTTGCGATGGTTAAACTCAGGCAGAGGCGCCGAGAGAGACCCAAAGGGCGAGGTCTCAGTTGGAGGTGGCTGATGCATAGCCGTCGCAGCGCCTACCGCCGGGGGTGCGGGCGGAGCGGGTGCCGGCTGAGCAGCAGGAGCGGGCCTACGCCCAGGAGGAGGTTCGTAAATACCCTCCCTCCTAAGATGGGTCAACTGCTCATTGAGCGCAAGTCTTCTGAAGCCACTCAATTTGGCGGTTTTTAGTGCCCAGGCTGCGACGGAACTCAGTGACCTCCTTCATGGTAATGCTCAGCCTAGCCTCGAGGTTCTGAGTGTGCTTCTTGAGTCCATCAATGGACGTCTGCTGCTGCAGGATGGTGATATTCTGAGTTGCCACCTTAGCCTGGAGATGGACAATCTCCTCGAGATAGGATAAGTCATGCCTTCACCCTCAGTGAAGTCATTTTCATCACCAGTGGCCTCCTTTCCACCTGTGTTATCCTCTTCCCCAAGGTTGTCAGCTTCACCATGGTTCTCAGCTTCACCATGGTTCTCAGCCTCACCATGGTTCTCAGCTTCACCATGGTTCTCAGCTTCACCATGGTTGTGCTCATCTCCAAGGTCCAGGTCCAAGTCCTCAATATCATCCAACTCAAGGTCAGCCATTGCCTCATCTTGATTGAGGTCAATCTCAGCAGCATTGTTCACCACCTCATTGGGTGCAGTGGGCCCTTTCTCCCTTGCCATATCCTTCTCTTGGCCAGATGCCATAAGGATTAAGGGAGCTTGTAAGATCTGGGTTGATTCTGTTAAAGTCCTTTTACCACCTCAATGGTAAAGCAAGAAATTCTTATAAAAGAAATTTCTTCTACAGAATAATCCAAGGTTACCAAAGGTAACAGATTTGTTGTCAAGCACTCCCAATCACCGAAGTGAAAGGGCAGGGTCTATCCAAATCTCAATAAAGAGAACTTGTATAACCCTCAACAAATCCTCCAGATCCAAGTTTATACTCCACTACTCAACAGTAGAGAGTCTTCCACCAAAAGGTGGGCAAGAGAGATAAATCTCTCTTCTTAGCTTGAAATTGCAGTTGTAGATCTTGTAGATCTTGAACTCTTCAAGCTTCCGGATCTTGAGTGTTCTCTTTAAGAGAAACCACAACTCCAAGATCTATAAAAAAAATCTCTAGGGGCAAAATCCCCACTAGGCTTAGGATAACCCTAGCTCTATATACCAATGTAACAACCACGGCCCTTATAACAACGGACAACCGTGTGTTAAATATAAATCACCCTTGACAATATTTATAAAAATCAAGATACAAGGCTCTTGAACTCTTCAAGCTTCCGGATCTTGAGTGTTCTCTTAAAGAGAAACCACAACTCCAAGATCTATAAAAAAAATCTCTAGGGGCAAAATCCCCACTAGGCTTAGGATAACCCTAGCTCTATATACCAATGTAACAACCACGGCCCTTATAACAACGGGCAACCGTGTGTTAAATATAAATCACCCTTAACAATATTTATAAAAATCAAGATACAAGGCTTCCAAGTTTAACTAATCCCACCAAGGGATAATCTAGCCTTGATAGTATTCTTCAAGCTTGAGAGGAGAAAGGGAGCTTGAAGAAGGTTGATGAAGCTTTAACAAGTAGGTAGGAGCTTCTTGTAGAACTTGTCCTTGAAAAATCACAAGTCTAGTTGTGTAGGAGAGCTTGTTAGGAGAACCCAAAATGACTTAGAGAAATCCCATTTCCAAGTTAGATTGTTGGAGTTGGGAAGTGGGAATGAGCTTGAAAGCTCCAACCCCTTCCATCATACCCCTTGGGGCTCTTCCCAACCATGGCTTCCATGGTTGGGGAACTAATAGGCTTGGAGCCTAGGTGGCATCTTTGTTTGGTTGGGAAAACCCAACTTAATTGTGTTGTATGGTTGTTTTGTGTTTGGTTGGATTGTAACAACAACTGGCATAATTTGATTGGTTGGAAATCCAACCTTTCCAATCTTCACTTTGATGGGTTGGAAGTTTTCCAAGCCTCAAGGTTGAGGGTTGGGAAAACCAAACCAGCTTTCCTCTCCAACTCATCCTTCCCATCTCTCGTAGTTCAATTTCTCGTCGAAGAACTTCTCGACATTGACTACGAGAGTCTCATTAGGTGCTTAGGTAGGTCGCGCGTTACACTTATAGTCCCGTTCAAGAAAATTGCATGAAGAGTGGTTGTTTTGCTACTATTTTCTGGATTTCGGCATTTACGTAGATTTGGACCGCGCTTGCTTCAACTTCCAGTCGCATGGTTTTCCACGCTGATCAGGGGGTGTTACATTGCGCGCTGGTCCATTTACAAGGAAATGGACCAGCGAATGCAAGGGGGCACCATTTTAGAGGGATCACTTCCAAAAGTGGTCCCGCTTGGTACCGGGGATCATTTGCGGCGGACCAGCTATGCACAGTGCATTGCAGCTTTGAAAACGAAGTGTTGACGAAAACAAAAGTGTACCTGGTTACGCTTGAACAAGATGTCACAGACAGCAGATACTTTTGGCGAAAAAATCAAAACGCAATTTTCGCATGCGATTCCCATCGCCTTGGGTCGCTCTGGAAATGGTCCTGGGTGTCGAGCATCGTTTTCGTACGTGCGCCTCGAACTATACATGCTGGTCCGTGGGCGGGTGCAAGTCGGGTCCACACCTGGGCCGTTTGCTGGTCCATGCTGGTCCGCGCTGGTCCATTCAAATGCCCTTGGGCCGCAGCGGCCCAGCACGGCCCAGCGTAGGTCTTACGCACATGGCACACCCCCTCAATGTCGCATGACTAACGGGCAAAACTAAACAAAATCAACAATGGTTTTGGGGTCGAATAGTAACCCAAAACTTTTTTACCCTGTAATCGAAATAAATAAGATGTCATCGTCGATCGCGCTTGAGACAGCGCGACAGGATTGAGAAGAAGTCGCCGTCAAGAGTAACAATCACTTACCATCTAAAAGTTAAAATTTCGAATCGATGATCCCTTCTTCATCGTTTTCCTTGAATGTTGGGCTGGTTTGATCTGGAGCCTCTGATTGGCTGCGGAGCTGATTCGTGCAATGATTCGGTCAAGCTGCAAAATTTCCCGCCAAAAAAGGGACTATAGAGTACGGGCCAACCCTAGGAGATATCGGAAAATAATACTCAGGGGGCAAAAGAGACTCTCTCAGCGAGGGCCTCTAACCCGGAACATTTGTACCACCAGCAGTGGCACTTCTTGACCTTGTTACGAGTGAATATGAGTAAGGGCGTGTAACATTGTACCGACCAGGCCTAAAATCCGACCAACGGGTTGGGTCTGGCGAATGCTAAGGGGTGTAATATTCATACAAACCCAGCCAAACATTTAGGGCGCGTAACTTTTTTTGTCCGGGTCCAAAGTCCGGACGGGGCTTCCATACCGTAAGAACGTTCCGTCCAAATGTTCAGGACTCAGGTCTGGACGACAGGCCGTCTCGACCACGTTTGTGGATTTTTTACGTTTGCGTTTTGAATTTCAAAATTCATGCGACATGTAAAATAGAACGAATGGTCCGATATGTCGTTCAGACGGTGTCAACCCCTTTCATCCGGGCCATTTTTTACATAAAGGTGTTAGATTTCGTTCGGACGGTTGCAACGTCGCACGGGGTCTTGCGAACTCTTCGCCGAAATATGGCAAAAACAGTAATCCTACCAAAGTTCGGATGGGCCTCCGTCCGGACGGAAAAGTTACGCGCCCTTAGAACACAAAGACCATTTAGTTCGCCATTTTGTGGGGCACAAACCCTAAACTAACCCCATGAATGGAACGAGAGGCTCTCGAGTTTTGGTTCACAAACTGCCTGGCCTTCTCAAGTTCCCAACTCAAAACTCGCCAGTCACTACTTACGATGGGGGAGAGACTACCCGCGCAAGTCTGCCGTTGAATAATTGTTCCGGCAAAAGTAGAGTGTTCGAGATGGCATTCGGCGACCGTACGGAGAGCCAATATGAAGTCTCCAGCGACACAACACCCAAAGAAGGTGTGCCGCAGTACGAGGGGGGTGTGGGCGATAAACTAGGGTTGGATACTAGCCAAGATATAGGAAGTAGGGGTGAAGGAGACAACTTGGAGAGCGACATGAGGAGAGGAGTCCGCTTCGTTCGAGGTCACAAACCCAGTCCCTGGGGGAGGGTAAAGGGACATGAGGGGAGCGAAGAATGGACCACCGGTGGAATAGCAACGATAAGAGCTGGGAGGGTGCGTGATACATCTAAATGGATATCTGTCGGGAGTTGGCGAGGTTCAACTTTGGGGTTTGGGCTGAGGGAAGAATATGCTACTCTAACCATGTGTCGAACGCACCTGCCATGAGAGGAGGAAGCATTCATGTTGGCAAGAGCCAAATGGCCTGCGGTTGGGTTTGAGGATGGAATGGTTGAAAGTGGTGGGTTTGGAGAGGATGCAGAGCGGGCGAAGAGAGGGGGGGGAGATGGATGGCAAGGGGGGTAGAATGGAGGGGTCGTAGTTCAATCAGCGCACGGGGAGTTATGGAGGTGGGTAGGTAGTCACGTTCGAGAATGGCAATGTGTGATAACATGCATTGCATACCAAAGGGAAGCGGGACTAGAGTGTGCGCAACCTCTTCGGAGGGGGTTGGTCTGAACCTGCGCAGGGCGCGCTGAATAGAGATAACGCTTACTTGGGTTAAAGGGGCGATTGCCCCTAGGCCGCAGTGCCAGACTGTTTGTGATGTGAGGCAAAAATGAAATTGCCAACGGATACATCAAAGCATTTGAGACTGTCCGGGGGAACCGGTTGGAATCATCCGGGGAAGAAGATAACAAAGTCCAGGAAGATCGAGGCAAAACATTTGCGGCACATGGCTATTGCGAGTAAAGCCGCAAGGAACTTGGCGGTACGTTGTATGCGCGCGAGATTATTCTACGCTCGACAAAGATGCCGAGGATGCGTTCTGCCTCGTGAGGGCCACGGATGGGGATATGCACCGCGTACAAGAGGTCTTAGGAGGGGATGTTGAAAGGAATGATGAAGCACTTATTCTAGTTGGGGTGTTATCTGGAGACAGACCCACATGCAAGGATGAGCATCACGACTTGTCCAAGTTCTATGTCTGAGTTTAGGAAAAGGGTGACATCATCCGCATGACACGCGACTCTGTGCTTCCGACAGGGCATAGCCTGGGAGGAAGAGTGGCATGTGACAGCGGAAGATCAAAATGACATAGACAAGCAACAACCATGAGTGCAGGCGTCCTTCAAGCATGCTATTAGCCGAGATGTGTGTGGACGTGTTAGAGTGCATGAGGCAGACTAGAGGATGAAGGGGGCAGGGAGACCCAAACACGATATCTCTCGGAGGAGGAAGGGCCTGTCAACCAGGTCATAAGCTTTGCGAAAGTCCACCGTGAGAGCGAGAAGGGGGGACAAGGCGGTAGCAGTCCATTGTTGACGAGAATAGAGTGTTGGTCCCGCAACTCGCTTGGCCGAAGCCGACGTAGTGGTTGGGTGCGCGAGAGGTGCGACCGACCATCCGCAGAGGTCGACGCGTGCAGGTCGACGGAGTTGGTCGACCTGCAGAAGACCGCTGCGGGGCCGTTGACGATGGGAAGCTGGCGGCAGATTTCGACTGGCGTGGTCGACGAAAGGGTTCGTCAACCTGTCTTGGGTGGGTTCGACGAAGGTGGTCGTTGACCTGGGCGGGACTGTTGAAGAGTTCATTGAAGACGGGAGCTCAACGATAGCGTCCGGCCGAGG